CTGACAACCAGAGCAACCATTCTTTTAGGTACATGGAACGTTCGTACATTGTGGAAGACTATTTTAAGTTGCTGCAGAAATGAAAAGATACAGCCTCGAGGTGCTCGGCATCAGCGAAACGCATTGGACACAGGTAGGACAACTGAGACTAGCTTCAGGGGAACTGCTGTCACACTCTGGTCACGAAGAGGAAAATGCTTCACATACACAAGGAGTTGCACTGATGCTGTCAAAACATACACAAAACGCACTGATAGGATGGGAATCTCATGGACCCAGAATCCTCAAAACATCCTTCAAAACAAAGAAAGAGGACATTACAATGAACGTCATCCAATGCTATGCACCTACCAACGACTACAATGACGACGTTAAAGACCAATTCTACGAAAGGCTGCAGTCAGTCATCGACAGATGCTCATCGAAAGGTCTGACCATTCTGATGGGAGACCTAAATATAAAAGTTGGCATAGACAACACTAGATATGAAGACAACATGGGACGACATAGACTGGGAGAAAGAAACGAAAATGGTGAGAGATTTGCAAACGTATGTGCCTTCAACAAACTGCTCATCGGCAGCACAATATTCCAACACAAACACATACACAAAGCTATATGGATTTGACTCAATCACACTACTCAGAACCAAATCGACCATATCTGTATCAATAAAATGTTCAGAAGGACCACGGAGGATTTGAGAACCAAGAGAGGAGCTGATATAGCCTCAAAACCACTTGCTGATCGCCAAAATGAAACTGAAACTAAACAAACACTGGATAACGGGGAAGACAACATCACACAAGCTTAAAACAGCCTTTCTTCGGGATACCGACAAACTCAACGAAATCAAGATTGCCCTCACCAATATGTTCCAGGCTTTGCATGATCTACTCGCTGGAGAGGAAATAACATTGGAGAACAATTTGAAACGGATCAAAGAGGCAATCAATTCAACATGTCAGGAGGTCCTGGGTCACAAGAAGCACCATCACAAGGAATGGATCTCTGTTGGTACTCTTGAAAAAATTGACGAAAGGAGGAACAAGAGGGTAGCAATCAATGTCGGCCGAACAAGAGCAGAGGAAGTTACCGCATAAGCTGAATGCTCAGAAGCAAACAGGTACGTGAAGAAGAGCATCAGAGCTGACAAACGAAAATATGTGGATTATCTAGCAATGACGGTGGAAAAGGCTGTAAGAGAAGGAAACACGAAACAATTGTACAATAAAGAAGCTCACTGGAAACCATCGTAAACCAGAACGACCCGTCAAATGCAAGGAAGACAAAGTAATCAGCAACACTGAAGAACAGCGAAATAGGTGGGTAGAGCACTTTCAGGAACTCTTGAATCAACCAGCTCCACACCCCACCCAACATCGAAGCAGCATCCACAGACCTCCAAACCGATGTTGGCGCACCAACAATTGAAGAGATCAGCATGGTCATCAGACAAATCGAGAGCGGCAAAGCAGCAGAACCAGACAACATTCCAGCAGAGGCAATGAAAGCAGACGTGGAAGCAACTGCAAAACTACTCCACATTCTCTTCAACAAGATTTGGGATGAGGAACAAATACCATCACACTGGAAAGAATGATACCTGTTCAACTTACCAAAGAAAGGCGATCTCACCAAGTGTGAGAACTACGAAATCATCACTCTTCTCTCAATACCAGGCAAAGTCTTCGATAGGTTATTGTTAAACTGTGTGGAGGACTTTCTAGACGCCCAACTTCGAGATCAGGCTGGATTTCGTCAGGATCGATCGTGTACCGACCAAATCGCAACATTACGAATCATTGTGGAGCAATCAATTCAACGGATAGTAAACATCATACCGAATTCTCAAGATGGATTATATTGAAAAATCGTCCACGGACGTCAGCTGACAGACTCTTTCGAGGTGGAGACCAGTGTCAGGTAAGGTTGCTTACTCTCACCCTTTCTCTTTCTCCTGGTGATCGACTGGATTATGAAGACGTCAGCATCTGGAGGGAAGCACGGTATTCAGTGGACAGCTAGGACGCAGCTGGACAATCTGGACTTCGCAGATGATCTGGCTCTTCTATCGCACACGCAACAACAAATGCGGAAGACGACCAGTGTAGCAGCAGCCTCTGCAGCAGCAGGTCTCAACATACATAAAGGAAAAAGCAAGATTCTCCGATGCAACACAACATGCGCCAACCAAATCACCCTTGATGGAGATGTCTTGGAGGACGTCAACACCTTTACATATCTGGGCAGCATCATTGACAACCAAGGTGGATCCGATGCAGATGTGAGGGCGCGGATTGGCAAAGCAAGGGCTGCATTTCTACAGTTGAAAAATATTTGTAACTCCAAACAACTTTCAACCAAAACCAAAATCAGGATTTTCAATACAAATGTCAAGACAGTTCTACTGTATAGAGCGGAAACTTGGAGAACTACGACAGCCATCTTTCAGAAGATACAAGTTGTCTACGCAGAATACGGAGAAAATCAGAAGTGGATAGGACACACACTGCGAAAAGCAACCAACTGCGTCACAAGACAAGCCTTATTTTGACGTCCTCAAGGTAAAAGGAAAAGAGGAATTCCAAAGAACACATGACGCCGGGAAATGAAGACAGACATGAGAAGAATTAAAAGAAAGAGAAGCGCAGGACAGAGTAGGTTGGAGAATACAAGTCGGCGTCCTATGCTCCATTGATGGTAACAGGCGTAAGCACCTTCGAAGCATAAGACTTTTTAAAACCAATTCAGGAGAATCAAACGTCTGGGATCCCTAGACCTACGCTCCTTATTAATTGGAACTCATCAAAAAGGTTTGCCAACGGTTATGAAAGGATTAATCATCCATATAGGAATTGTACTTGTATCATATAATTTGGAGATCAGAGATATTACCACCGAGCGCCTTAGGATGTGATTAATCAATAAAGTTGAGGTATGTTATCACGGAGTCATTAACAGTATCAGATTGTTGTTGAGGCTTTTCGCTACACCTATTAACAATGGGTGCTGGTTACTACAGTGTTACGAATTTCGCCAACGCAAATAATCTTGAATACTCTAACGCAGCTATATTGTACACCTACTGAGTTGTTTACGCAAAAATCACCGATTCACAGACCACTTATAAAAACATCAGAAAAACCAACTAAGTACCTCGTAGTTTTCCTGTTATTAGAAATTTCAAAATCTCGGAATTACATAGATGAAATGTAGAATCCCAGACATAAATGACAAGTCTTATTAGATTGACTAGTCCGAGTGAAATGATAGTTCAATGTTTTGATGTCAAGTGCTCGAAGGCATTAAGCAACGATCGCTCAACCTAGGTTTCTTCTCAATTAGTAATCATCAACAGGGAATATCTATGACCTCCTTTTCGGAACAGTTTGTATTAACAGTATAATGGTGTCCTCAATACTATTAAATCTGTCGGGAAGCAAAAATCATCAATACGATTCACTTACTAAAACAAAAGAGGGCAGTGACATCAACTTTCACATCACTATAAATAAGAGATTTATTAATCATGCTATTCTACCATGTAGAACAGAAAACTATTGAAAATTATTTGGATGGATACTTTGGGAAATCAACTACTGCGTTCATTAAATCTGATTGATTAAAACATGGTCTTAGATAAATGTAACAGCTTGTTACTATTATGGAAGTACCAATTAGTTTATATGCTACATTTTGTATACGTTCTGTCTGAGCAATCGGTCAGACCCCGAATAGATTCTTGAGTCTATAACCACAAATCACATCCTCCCTGAAAGTGAAACAATTATATTTGTAATAAACACCCCATCACACATCAACACAAGTGTTCTTTCATGCCTAAACCCAACCCATACAGTCATTTGATAATGAAGTGATGTGACTATAATCAGGAACTAGAATTGCGATACGAAGACTACCAATAACATGAACTCCAGCTACAAATGAGAATTTCATTAACAAGGTCACGAAGTTTTGTGAGACGCCAGATACCCTCTTGTTACTATCGGAGACAGTAACCACAGCTGGTGGCTGTACTACGTCCTTCAAGAACCAATCCCCATCATTACATCATTGATTACAGATTCACCGGTAGAGTGAATCACGAAGTTCAGTAGAAATACGATATCAGAGAACCGATACCAGAAAATAATGAGATAGCCGGTCATGGTTATGTTATCTTCAGTCTGACCCACCTTAAATAATAAGATGGCAAATAGCACCCAGATTTCGACATGTCCCAACCATAACGTCATCCTCACAATGGACCACTGGATTGTATATCTCACCTCTGAAATGACTTAGAGTTGAGTTTAGGCATATGCAAAATTTCTAGATCTGAAAGATTTTCCGTGTTCCTGATTAGTTTATATTTTGGACACCTACTGAAGCTTCATAGCAGACTTAAACTTTGGAGCAGTTTATAACACTGAAGATTAAGCAATATAAGCATAGACTTAGGGTCTGGGAATCTGACAGTGCAGCCGCAAAGACTGAGAATTTCGAATAATTGGAAGTAGGTTTACAGGCTAAGAACTTCTGATACATACCAATGTGAAATGACCTTCATGAAGAACGCACACGCTGCCGAGGTACCTGGAGAGAAAATCACTGACAAAACCTAGCCGTAGATGTTCATCGGTTTCTAATAGAGCAAAAGAAACTGAGATAACAGCTGAAACGTTACTGACGTTACTATAGATTCGAATAAATCCAGAAAACGCACATGCGACAAACGACTGTTACACTTGCTTTGTAACTAGAGAATGCTGCTAAGTGGCACATATGACCACAGCTGGTAATGTCAAACTGAACATGAACACCATCTGAAAAGGAGTATATCTGGGTTTAATTTAACTACTGGAGACGTGAATAAACAATGATAAATTGCTCTCTGGCTTTGTGCTATCACGCGATGCTCCAAATTGCAGGAAACGATATATACACAAGTATTACAGAAACCAAAACTAAACACTGATGAATTAAAAACTTATAATCCAAATAGAAATCAATTTATTGAGCGATTGTACAGGGTCAGACATTATAACTTATCTAAGTAATTATCCAAAGCAGGAATGCCTGCATTCAGACCTTTACGCTTTCGTGTGTCCAAAACTACCTGACCTGGTTTTGAGTTCGTGTCAAGAGGATCGCCAGGATAAGTTTGCCAGTGGTCAAAGACACATTGAGGGAAAGCTTGACCACCAGTTGCAGCACGAAGATCGGTAGTAAAGCCTAGAAAATATCAAATTATTAAGATTGAATTACCGAAAGATTCATTGACTGGAAGATATGCTTTGGTAACACACATTGGACTGTCACTTTTCCGCTCCTCTGAGAGTGTGATGGCTCGCTTGCGATTCAAAGTGCTGTAGATTCCTCCCATAGAAGTAGGTGGGGCTTGAATTTCTACTAGATAAACTGGTTCTAGTAAGCATGGTTTGGCAGTAAGAACGGCAGCATAGATGCATCGACGCGCCGTACCAGTGATTTGATTACCTCCACGATGGATAGCGTCCGCGTGCAATACCACGTCTTCGAGGTTGATACGGACTCCACGCATATTTTCGGAACAAAGAACACCTTCTTTAGTTGCCCACTGAAATGCAGCATTAACACTATCTTTTATTTCAAGTAGATATTGGACTGCCTTGGTTGTATCAACAACAATATTAGGTCCGGCATTATCTGGACCGAAGCACCATATTCTTCTGGCTTCTGTAGCATCCCATCCATGGTTGTCTACTAGGTAACGGCAACGTTCTTTAGCCTCTTGATTAGCGGCGATTTTTCCGTCATCAACATCCTTAGCAAATTCTTCTGATAAAGGTGCGGCACGCATGTACAAACGATTATGTTTGTTAGGGGATTTAGCCAGACATAATTGATTCGACGCTTCGGTTACTGTCTCGCGATATGAAACAACGGGGTCAGTCTTCTTTAAAGGAATGCCTGCATGATCTTCCTCCAAATCCTTCAGGCAAATTTCTAGATGCAGCTCACCGGCACCGGCAATGATGTGCTCACCCGATTCCTCCGTCGTTATCTAGAAACACATGTGATAAATACTATGATAACTTACTTGCACCATAGGATCACTTTTGGCAAGACGTTTCAAGCCTTCAACAAGTTTTGGTAGATCAGCGGGATGTACACATTCAACTGCAACCCGGACTACAGGACTGACACTAAATTTCATTTGTTTCAAATTATGAGCCCCTGCGAATGTTGTTATGGTTCCAGTTTTAACAATAAACTGGTCTACTCCCACTAATCCACAGATGTTCCCACATGGTACATCTTCAATGGCTTCTGTATAACGACCCATCATTAGTACAGTCCGTTGTATGGACTTTTCGTAGAGATCTTCCTTTTTGCCTGGAACGTAGTTAGGACCAGTTATTCTTACTTTTTGTCCAGTGCTAATTGTACCAGAAAACACACGGCCAAATGCATAAAATCTACCTTTATCTGATGTCGGTACCATCTTACTAATGTACATCATGACTGGACCGTTCTGATCACAGTTCTTCATTGCAATAGCTGCTTCATCCTCCATGGGTCCTTCGTAAAGCATATCTATTCTGTACTGCTGTGAGGTGACAGGACTAGGGAGATGAATGCATATCATTTGCAGAAGTGAGTCACCAGCAGGAAGCCACTTATGTAATACCACTTTCAGTCGTTGTTTATCAGGAAGAGCTAATTCTGCTTCAGTTAAAGTTACACCCAACTTTGATAGCAATTTGGTTTGCTCCTCTATACTTTTAGTCATGACGGTATCAAAAACAGTGAAAATTGGAGATAGGATAAAGTGGTTAAAACCACGAACAGCGTTATCCGACTTCGTAGTAGTCCACTTCTTTGACTGTGGGTCGTAGAAGTTGTCACCCCAAAGACGTTTTACTAATTTACTCGGTTCAATTTTGAACTTGGCTGCGTAAAATCTGGCAAATGTCATCAGTGTGAATGCCCAACTTTGCAAACCAGAACCGAAACCTACAGTTCCTTGCACAACGTCTATTTCAAGCGGACCCATTGCAGTGTTACTTTCGTGAAACTCCGAAATTATGATGTTGATATTTTCTATAACTCTCTGGAATTTTTGATACAAATCTTCCATTTCACAGCTCAGAGTTAATATTGCCATATCCATCTTATTCATGAATAACACTGGTTTGATGCGTTCTGTGAGAGCTTGACGCAAAACCGTTTCCGTTTGCACACAAACACCTAACAAAAAACCATTATTTCTAAAGCAGCTTACCTGATACACAATCAACTACGACAAGAGCTCCATCGGTTACACGTAGGGCCGCAGTGACTTCTGAAGAAAAATCAACGTGTCCTGGAGAATCTATGAGGTTTATGAGAAATCCCTTTTCTTCTTTTCCTTCTGAGTTAACAGCGATAGGCTGAACTGCCTTGACGCATTGAATATCCTCATCAGACATTTCATAATACAAACTAATAGCTGTTGATTTGATAGTGATACATCTTTCTTGTTCATCTTTTCGGGTGTCGGTGAACCGGGCATCCCCAGCGCGTGATTCGGCTATAATACCAGCCTTGCAAACAAGCGAATCCGTAAGTGTAGACTTTCCATGATCCACATGTGCTATGACGGACATGTTGCGAATATTCCGCTTGAAATCCATCATCCGACGTAACTCATCTACTGTGAATTTTACCTGTGATATGAAATTCGCAAATGATTATCAATCTAACCTAAGGAACTCATGAATAAGCCGTCAGAATGTACATAATACCATGGACTTATGAAACCTGTGCGGATTCAGTAAACACAATTTGACACTAAGGCTACGGACGTAACTACAAGAACTTGTGGGTAGACCACGATTGTACTTCCCACTGGTGCATGCTTAACACCTATCATCACATTTGACAGGACATCGAGCAAGTGATATAGTAGCAATATGGCTGCTAGTAGAAACATACAGAAGTCACACGCTTGAGGCAGGGGCTCAATATTGATGGTCTAAAAACCTGTAGCACTTCACCTTACGAGACGTTTCAGAGATATGACTTCATTAACACTGAATAGGCTACCTAATACTCAACTAAATAATGTAACTTATCAATGATCTCACTAAAACCCTGCATCTGGTTGAAAGAATTTCTGTTGTATAATTGAAAATACTAGGTGGGTAATCTACAATATAATTTGAACTGTTCACGTCATTACCCAACCCTTTGTGAGATCCCCAAGGTATTGGTTGTGTCCGATACATGTTGGAAAGTATATAACTCAACCACTTTCTTAGTTCTCGTCTCAAGATACATTTGCAGACGGTAATGTAGAGTTATAGTTTGCTTGCAACAGTTGGAAAGCTTTTTGGCTGCTTTATAGAAAGATAACTAGTATAGTTGGAGATACATATACCCTCAACCTGCAGGTTTAAGAGAACACGCGTGACAGGAAATAACAAGAAAACAGCTACGAGTCTCACTGCCCTGCTACTGAGGCACGTTCCGAGAATAACAAGAACTCTAATAAACAGTTAAATTTGACGTTAAGGTGGGAAGAAACAACACTGCTCCATACTCACCATTTTGCCGGGACCCACTAGCCACGAACAACACTAAGGACAAATGTAGCAAGTGGTACCGGATAGTCAACCAGTTAAACACATTCAGTTTCCAATGTATTTCTAGTCTTTATGACAAACTATTGTAGGCCAGTTCGCTTTCTTACACTCACGTTTTCATTGCATGAAAAATCTTCTCTTCCCAGTACCTTCTAAATCTGTGAATCCAGACTCACAGCGCGAGCTTCGAAATTAACGTACAATCAATGACCTCCTACAGTTTACAGGAAACAATCCAGTTTTAGACACCAAATTGGGGTTTTTAATCATTACCGAAGGTGTGAAATTTGTCTCCACTCTTTGATGAAAAAACTGAGCATCGAATCAGAACCACTCTGCAGTAGCTCAAGCTGTTTTGATCAGCTGCTTTCTTCCAAGTTGCTTTGGCAGCATGCATCCATTAATTCACTCGCAAACACGAAACTTGTGGAAAAGTCACTGGATCCGCACGAAGTTTCTTACTAGGACATTCAGAAGCCTTTGAAGAAGTACCGTGTGGGAACATCTGTGGATTAGTGGGAATAGACCAGTTCATTGTTAAAACTGGAACCATAACAACATTCGCAGGGGCTCATAATTTGAAACAAATGAAATTTAGTGCCAGTCCTGTAGTCCGGGTTGCAGTTGTGATTTACGAACGACAGAACTTTAGGACGCCTTCTTCACCTCTTCTTATTTTGCCTACTGGTTTTTCTAGGAGTAGGAATCTGAGGAGAGTCGTATCGGTTTCTATGTTAGAGAACGGTTGAAGGTGTTCAAGTCGAGTGGTCCGTATTGTCAACATTACTCCAAGGTACACTATCGAGTGACGTTTTGAGTTTTTTCACAACTCGTTAGAGACTGAGATTTTCGACTCGCTACTAACCCCGAAATTCATACCTCTACTAGTTTTCCTAATCGCCTTAGTGTAAGAAGTGTACGCTATTTCTGAACATGATACGCGAGAGATCTAATGAAAGGAAAACGAGATAATTTAAAAAGGAAAACACGATATATAGGAGTTTTGGAAGGGGGCAGGCAGCCAGCTAACCGAGGTGACAGAATCATGTTGGTGTTGTTGCCACGCGAGTGGCACGAAATAATTGATTGGGGGGTTATCGGCCCCTCCTAGGTGCTAAGGCCCAGAAAGACCAGCTGACTGAGGCAATACTGCAACTGCCACCCCTTGGTGTTACGGGAGAAATGAAGACATTTGGCTGATTAAAACCTTTATATAAATATTATTAATTTCACTGTGTTTTTTGGGTATATTTGTTTTACTTAACTTACGAACTTGTTTGATTTATTGTTTTCGGACAGTTTGGTTTCTGTTTGTCTTGGTTTGCTAATTGGGAGGCT